TTCTCCGCTTTTCGCGATTTCGTCAAAATTCGACAAATTTAAGGTACTCTCCGAAAAAAATCCGAAAGGACTTTTCCACCAACTCAATATTTTACCCTATTGGGTAAATTCCCTTATTCTTCTCCCCTATTTGAGTACGTCCACTTTCGCGCAGAATAGGAAACAGGGTACCTCGAATAAAAGACCGGTCTTATATTCGAGACGGTCTTCTATTTTTTCGATCATCCCCTAGACGCCGTTTTCTATTCGAGGCCGGTCTTCTATTCGAGTAAATACAGTAAATAGCTCAACACCAAGAAATCTCAGCTCAAAGTTAGAGCTAATGGCAAAAGGGGCCAATATCAAATGCCTGATAACGAAAAATCAGTGCCCAACACGCATGTACATGAGACTGAAGAATTTACTTTATTCAAGTCAAAAATGAAATATGAAAAAAAAAATTATACACACCAATACGTTTGCACTGTGTTGCCGGGAATCCTGTGAAGCTTTCTCTTTTAAAATCTAGTACAAAACTTTTATTTGAACATCCGTAATACATAGGTAATGGCAACTAATCGAGCAACTTTTCTGTCATAAAAAAACTTGCTGTATAAAGCAGCGATGATAAAACAATTTCATAGTGATCATTAACAAAAAGCAAGAGGTACACTTGTGTTTATTGAAACAAAGCGTAACAAAGCGTACTGTTACAATATCATAGTAGTTTTAACAACGGGCCTACATTCCTAACCTGACAGGGATCAAACAAATTTTTTTACTACAAGGTACCGTACTGCCTTTAATAGAAACCAAATCTTTTCATCTTTTGGCTACTTGAAAAACCATTAAAAAAGCTAATGGTAAAAGCTAAAGCTAATGTTCTTGAACAGGACTTCAGGTGAAGGATAATTTCGGATTTAATGAAGAAAAATACAGTTTACTGGCATTAAGTGAGTTTCGACTGTGCTGTGGATTTCATAAATTGACAGGACAGCGCCAATAATGCTCAAGGAATTAATTACGCTCAAGAAATCGTTGTATATTTTGTTTTGCTCCATTCTTACGTTATTAAACTTGCAAATTTGTAGGCTGACAGTTCATCTTAACTCAACTCGACCGAGTCAGCACATGGGTTGAAATTTCCAGTCCAGTCAGCCCACTTTATTTGTTAAATTAGACCACTAAATGCCAAGTGAGCTTTCTTGAGCCTGAGACTGCGACCATTAGCTTTAGCTTGCGGCCATTAGCTTTAGCTTGCGTCCATTAGCTTTAGCTTTTACCATTAGCTTTTTTTAATGATTTTTCAAGTAGCCAAAAGATGAAAAGATTTGGCTTCTATTAGAGGCAATATGATGCCATGTAGCAAAAACTATTGAAGTACACCCAGCTACCACGACACGATTAAACAACATTTGCAACTAGAAAAATTTGATAAAGTTAAGTTTTTTCAAAGTTTGAAGCTACACAAAGGCAGTTTTTTTTAGACTCACTTTTTGTTGGAGGCAGAAATTTGCAGTACCAAAGTCAAGAAATTATATATGTCGTAGCCGCTAACGAAATTCAGCCGCTAACGAATGATTCGTTAACGGCTAGCCGCTAACGAATGAAATTTTTCGCTAGCCGTTTACGAATGAAATTTTTTCACTAGATGTGTACGAAATCTTTGTACCCTAAAGTCGCGAGTATAAGTTCTGTAATTTACATTTAAAGGGCTCTGATGGAAAATTTTCTTCTTTCTTTAATTTTTATTGTTTTTTTGTTTTTTTTCATTTTTTATTTTACTAACTTTTTTTCATTTTAGATACGATGAGGAGAAAGTCGTACACCGCCGAAACGAAGCTCGAAGCGGTCAAATTTGCGAGAAAATTTGGAACGAACGCGGCTGCGATCGAATTTGAAGTCGCCGAACAGATGATTAACCGCTGGAAACAAGCTGAGCCGGCACTGATGACTTCACCAAAAAATAATCGAGCTTTCCGAGGATTGAGGGCAAAATGGCCGGATGTGGAGAAAGATCTGAAGGCATGGGTTCTGGAGAGGCGATTCACCGATGCTCATTTTCAAGCGCAAGACTCTTCCTAAAGGAATTTTTCCCGGTGTGATCATCAAAGCTAATCCGACAGGGTGGATGAATTCGGACTTGATCAAGGAGTGGATCGATGAAATTTGGTTGCGAAGAGCAAATCCGGTGGCCAAATCCGAAGAATCAGTGCTCGTGTTGGACTCAGCTCGCTGTCACTTAACCGATAATGTCAAGGCTGAAATTCAGCAACACTCGAAGCTGGCTGTGATTCCAGGAGGGCTAACTCGATTTCTACAACCGCTTGACATCAGCGTCAATAAGCCATTCTGAAATTGGGTCAATATGTCAATATGTTGCGAACGCGTATCAAATTCTGAAAAAGCGAACGCATATACTAACGACGAAAAAATACGATGAAATTGTGAACATATTGACAACAATGTCATAACAACAATGTTATAAATGTTAAATGTTATAAATTTTATTTCACTCGTTGTGATTAGTTTGCTGATTTGCGTTTTGCATAAATAGTTTGAAATCAAAGACTAATTTGAATTGAGCCATGTTCGCAGAAGCCGATTACAAATCGTGCACGGCTAGCAAAAAAATTTCATTCGTAATCGGCTAGCCGATTACGAATGATTCGTCAGCGGCTAGCCGTTAACGAATGATTCGTCAGCGGCTAGCCGTTAACGAATGATTCGTTAGCGGCTGAATTTCGTTAGCGGCTACGACATATACAAAAATTTCAGCAAAAGTTTGAGTGTTTTTGATGTGCGGTGGCCCTCGAAGGAGTTTCTTTTAAGATTTTTTTATGTGAGCTCAAGTCATTTCATGAACCCGAATGAGCCAGATGTTTCTCAAGCGGCCCATTGGCAACACAGTCACTTGGAACTAGACTAGACATAGCTAACGATATTTTGGGTTTGCTCCCTCCTTTTGGACAGTCATATCGGCGCACCAAAAGTTGCTAGCAATCTGAAACTTTTATATCAGAAAGCCAATATTATTAGCTTCATTTTGATCCCAAACATTCAGCAAAATTCTTTAAAACAGTACTCAAAAAATCACATTAAACCTTAAAATTCCTTAACGCCCTCAACGAGGCCTCGTTAAGTATCGATAGCCTTTTTAGAGTACTTTTTTTTAAAGTTTTTTGTTGAATGTTTGATATCAAAATGAAGCTGTTAATCTAGGCTTTCTGATAGAAAAAGTTTCAGATTGCTTGCAACTCTCAGTGCGCTGATATGACTGGTCAAACTTGAAGCCTCGTTAAGCTAGACAAGGGCTAGACTAGACTGTGTTCCTCGCAAATAAGGCGCATCATAAATTTGGTTCCTTATCTCTTTAAATTTGGTTCCCGACCTCTCTCAATTTGGTTCCTTATCGCTACAGATTTGGTTCCTTATCTTTCTAAATTTGGTTCCTTATCTCTCTAAATTTGGTTCCCTATCTCTACAAATTTGGTTCCTTATCTCTTTAAATTTGGTTCCCAACCTCTCTCAATTTGGTTCCTTATTTGTTCCTTATAAACCAAATTTGATCAGATAGGAAACCAAATTTGTTAAGATAGGAAACCAAATTTATCAAGATAGGAAACCAAATTTGATCAGATAGGCGCCTCGCCGACCGTAATCTAGCCTCTCTTTAAATCTTCGCATGTAAATCTTCGCTAAATTTACATTTACGTGGCCTTAGTTAAGTGGTTAAAGCGGCTGTCTATCGCCCAAACAAAGTGGGTTTGATCTCCGGATATGCTGGCAGTTTTGCTTTTGTAAAAATTTGAAAGAACAGTCTAGCTAATGTTTAGCTAATGATTGTTTTTTTTTCGTGTAAAGAGTTTCAGCACCGAATGTTATCGCAAAAAAAATTCGCAAACACCGGCAAAAAAGAGTTTAATATTTGACTTTTATTTGAGCCATTATTTAAAAAAGAAGTTATTTATAAAAATTTATTTAATTGCGTGATGGACCGTTGCAAGAGTTTAACTTTTCCAAATCTCTTTATTACGCCCGTAGAGGCCGATTATGGCATCAAAAATTCAATCAAGCAAAGGTAAAAATTGCAAAAACAAGCAACGATTCTATAGGGTTGATCAACGAAGTTGACTTTGTTGTGGTTGATTGATATCGAGGAGCTGTTGTTGTGGAGGAGTTTACTCCAGACAATGTGAAATTTATTGGTGTTGTGGCGGTGGTCACATTTGTTGATGTTGTGGCGGTGGTCACGTTTGTTGATGTTGTGACATTATTCGAAAGAGTGATTCTTGTTTGGGTAGTGGTTGCACTGGTTGAAGTCACTTTTGTCGATGTGCTGGTCTTTGTTGTAGTTGTGGTGGTCGACGATGTGGGCAAAGATGTTGACCATCTAGCCAAGTAACCGTATCGAGTGTCAGTCGATGGCTCCCAATCAACCGGAAAATTCATACACTCTTGTACAAGTTTAGTGAGAGTTTACTCAAATTTTGTTAACAAACTTATTAACTTGGCTTGACACAGCCATCTCTGCACATAAAAATGTTTTAGCTATCGGAAACTTTTTCGATCAGAAAGAATAGATTGTCAGCTTTATTTTGATACCTAAAATTTGGTAAAGTCGTTTAAAAGAGTACTCTAAAAACTATATTAAAACTTTATGAATCTTACCCTAAACGAGGCCTCAATAAAGCCTCAATAAAGCCGTCAATAAACCTCAATAAAGCCTCAATAAAGCCGATTTACTCTCGGAGTAAATCGGCTGAAAGAGTAAATCGGTTACGACATATATTTTTGGTAGAGTTTCATTTATCGATGTTTTCTCTAATAGTAGTGGACCCCGCAAATTCCCTAAATCAATCGAAATTTCAAGAACCGTCGATCAGAACCTATCGATGTGGAGTCGGAAAATGTAGCTGAGATTTAGATCTTGTGGGGGAAACGGGTTTTGTATTGGGTTGGTGAATTGAAAACTGCCGGACTTTGAACTAAAATTTATTGAACATAAAACCATAAATTCATTCCAAATAATTCCCATTATTATTGACGACTTCTGCCCATTTTACAAGCAATTTGCGGATTCCTCTTTCGTAGTAGGATTTTGGTTTGTGTGTGAGACAAGTGTGAGACTGAAAAATCGAGGACTGGAGATGTCCGAGTTTGAGCACTTTCTTCAAAAGAAACCCATTTTGGTGTCAATAGAAAAGTTGCAGAGAATTAAAAATGAGGCTTATAGCCAAATTTCCAAAAAGATACACTTAGTAGTTTCGCTTAAAATGCAAGTTTTGTGAAAATTCGTAAATTTCGCATTTCTTGAAAATCAGTTTTTGAATCTTTCTGAAAATTTGGATATAAGCTTGATTTTTGATTCTCTACAACTTTTCCATTGACACCAAAATGGGTTTCTTTGGAAGAAAGTCCTCAAACTGTCACATATCACAATAGCAGGCAGTTTTGTAAAAGTGCTATCAACTTCATGTTATCAACCTAATAGAAAAGAAATCCCATTAAAGAGTATTCATTAAATCTTATCGATGCTGTCCTTAACGAGGCTTTATTGAGGCCTCGTTTAGGGTAGCATTTTTAGAGTTTTAGATTTTTAGATTTTAGAGGTTTAATATATTAGGTTGTCCAATAAGTAATGCGTGTTACTTATTTCGAAACTATTGCGAAATCGCTTCGAGCAAATATATGCTCTTTTTAATCATCAGCATCTTGTGTTTATTTTTATATATTATTTTATTCATTTGCCTTTGTTTTATAATAGATATGTTGTTTTGCAGATGAAAGACAAAAAGTTTGTTGTCCGCGCATGAATGCTGTATGATTTCAAACGAGGTAAAACTGCAGCGGATTTCCATCGAACTATCTATGCCGCATTTGGAGAGGATTCAATTTCAATCAGCCAGTGCCAGCGCTGGTTTAAACGATTTGCGGACGGAAACGAGTCAAAAGTGTTGACGAGGTGCAAAAATGGCTCGACGATTTCTTCTCATCGAAACCAGCTTCATTCTATTACGACGGACTTCACTCTTTGCTCGGACGATGGAGAAATGTTGTTGATTGTTGTGGAGAATATATCGATTAATAAAGTTCTCTTTTGTTAATTTTGTGATATTTTGAAAATCGTGTCAAAACACGCATTACTTATTGGACAACCTAATAGTTTTTAGAGTACTCTTTTAAAGAACTTGACCAAATTTTTCGTATCAAAATAAAGCTGACAATCTATTCTTTCTGATAAAAAAAGTTTCCGATAGCAGATCTAAAATTTTCGTGCGCAAATGTGGCTTTTCGAACGCAAAACATCGTAAATATAGTCGTGTCTAAAAAATCGTAAATATAGTCGTGTCCAGTAGTGGACTATGTACACTACTGGACAATGAAATATCATATTTGAAAAAGATGATCACTTTCGCCCGTCTGTAACTCCCTTGTCTTTACCGTATTTCTAAATATTAGTATTACCATTGTGTAGCCATTGAAAAGAGCTTTCAGAAAATGTATAACACTAATAGTTTAGGGAGTTACAGACGAAGAAAAGGGAGTTACAGACGCGCGAAAGTGACGATCGTTTTTCAAATATGATATTTCATTGTCCAGTACTGTATGTCCTAAGAAATGACAAAGCCTAGCCTTGAAAATTCAACTTTCAACTTGGGACAACTCTAGAACTGAGCTTAATTTGGTTATAAAATACCACAAAGCGATCGGAAAATTTCGTATAAGTTGTTGGTGTGAAAGAGGCGCCAGTTCTGAACATCAAAATTTTCTATCTTATTGAGAAGAAGTTTCACTCACAAATTGTGATAATCACCGATACCCGATTCACCGATCGTGATCCCCAGATAGCCCTTTGTTCCCGCGTCCCAAGATTGCACGGTGAAAATGATATTGGATGGTTCTGAACGATTTTCAGTCAGTCAATTTCTTTTCTTCATTTACTTATCCACGACCAGGCTGTAATCGAAGCAGCCGTTGAGAAATATTCAGTATCGAAGACACCCGGGTACTGTAGAGACATCACAAAACCCATCGAGTTCTCATCAGCTTTCGCTTTTGAGATTACTGAAAATTGCTTATTTTATGTTTAGAATCATAAAATTCTAAATTTATTATAGCAAATATTCTAGCAAATATTCACTAGAATGCTTTGTTTTTAGTGGATTTTCATCGGGGTACATTTATTCAACTTTTTATTTCTATTAAAATTTATTGGGTTGGGGAGAATGAGTCGGCGCCGAAAATCAAAAAAATGTCTAAAACTTCTATTCGACTTCGTCAAATAATATGCGTTTGATATGAGTAGAATGGTTAACTAATTCTCTACAAAATGACATTTAAAAGAAAATTCAAACAGCGCCTCCGCTCAAGAAAAAAGTCATTTTTTCACAAAAACTACAAACTGTGATCTAGAAAAAACCATTGGTGGGATCTTCCTGCAAATTTGGCAACTTAAGTAATTGAATGTGCTCTATCTTTTTTATATAAACACCAAAGAAGGTTTATGTGAAAGAAACTGTTCAAATGATGAGTCGGACTCTTTGCCATTTTAACCAGCTGCGTTTGCAAGTTCATAAACTCCTAAGTTCATAAACATAAAAGCTTTGTGGAATCTCTCAAAAGTCATTTTGTAGAGAAATAGTGGATCCTTTTGATGAAACCAAACGTATGTTTAAAGAAGGCTTTATGTGTGCAAAAGTCCCCTTTAAAGTTTGGCGCCGACTCATTCTCCCCAACCCAATACATATACCGTATTCTCTCTAATAGTAGTGCGCACTACTATTAAAGAGTTTTATCGTTTACCAAAGTAAGACAGATATAAGATTTGTTCCAAACATTCTTGCAATTCTTTCATGTACTCCTTTGGCTTCTTTCGACATACAGTTGTGGGCTGGCGAGTTGACAATTTGTGTCTTGACAAACAACAAAAGGATGTTTTTGCACTTTGCACAACAATTTTAAATTTTTTGCTAACTTTTTTATGTTTTTCAAGAATAGTTAATAAATGAATAAAAAAAGCCTCACTTTAGCTTGCTTGAATAGCTTTAGAAGCCTGCTTGAATGCTTGAATAGCTTTCACATAAACATAAAGTCAAAAAGGTTTAGATGAAAAAGAAGCATCAGAAATTCAAATTTTCGAGGCTGCACTACTATTTTTTCAACCCCCTCTCGGCCCGCAATACTATTAGAGAGTGCACTACTATTAGAGAGAATACGGTAACTAAATTGATTCTTGATTCATAAAAGGTTCCAATATGGTTCCAATATGGTTCCAATATGGTTCCAAGATGGTTCCAATATGTATCCAATATGGTTCCAATATGGTTCCAATATAGTTCCAATAAAGTCCTTGATTCATAAATAATCCTCAAATGACAAAGGATATTTATGCTAAATGTTAAAGCTAGGGTTAAAGCTGTTAAAGCTGTTAAAGCTGTTAAAGTTTCAGCTAAAAGAAACTCGCACTTTGATCAAAACTCACAGTCTTTTCCCCTGCACGCATACTCAGCATTGCAATAAGCTGGCACAACAAATGTCACTCCATTACCGTAGACAGTGCTTGTTTTATATTTTTGAACGTTTTCTTGGCTAAATTTAGAGTTGTTTTAAAACAAAAATAACTATGGCACGTAAAAGTGGAGACTCTAGCGTGGTCTGATCAAAATAACTTCAATTTCCGGATCTGATTTAAGTGCCTCAAAGTTGAAAACTCGCTAAAATATGAGGGAAAGATTACGGTAGTTTTCTGAATTAGCTATGTTTTAGAAAAAGATGCGGCTTTTATTAGAGGAAGTACGGTATTTTGAAAAGAAAGAATAGAGCCAAAGTTAAACTTGAGAACTAACGTAAAGCTGAGCAGCCAATACTTTCCTTTGCCGGCCTCGTTTGGCTGCCCCCCGAGGTACATCTCGACTGTGCAGTTTGGGGTCTAAAAGATTGAGTAGAGTAGTTGAAACTAGGGCAGATCAAAAACTCGTGCGTCGCCGGGAATCGAACCCGCGACCTTTCGCTAGCCGGGCAGCTGTGCTAAGCATTATACCACAACACACTTGATCTCCCTTACCCCAGAGGGAGTTAATTTAGTTATAGGTCTTACTTTTTCCTCGTAAACACTATACCCAGAAGTTTGGGGAAAATTTTAGAATTGTTGCATGCTAACCGCCAGGGTACTTTAGCGCAGTAGGTAGCCTCACACGACCCGGGTTCGACTCCCGCCATGCAGATTTTGTTAGCTTATAGAGTCGTTTTCATGGTTCTGGTGGTTCTCCACAAGGATATTTCAAGAAAATATTTACTAGAATGCTTTGTTTTTAGTGGATTTTCATCGCGGTACATTTATTCGACTTTTTATTTCTATTAAAATTTACATATACCGTATTTACTCGAATAGAAGACCGGCCTCGATTATAAGAGCGTCTCGAATAGAAGACGGGGTCTAGGGGATGATCGACAAAAATAGAAGACCGGTCTTCTATTCGAGTAAATACGGTAACTAAATTTGCATTCTTGATTCATAAATAATCCTCAAATGACAAAGGAAAATTGTTTAGAAATGGAAAGTTACTTTAAATGCGAATTTTTTGAGAAAATAACCGATATATACAAATTTTTAAAAGAATAAACAAAACAAAAAAGATTTTACAAACTCACATGAATCTCGCCAACAAGACACTCGACTGCCGGGTACGGTCTTTCATCATCGAAAGGAACAAATGTCCAAATGATCGGCAAGGGATTAACTGGAAGACAGTGATTTTGAAACAGATATAGAAAGTCAAAAAGTTGTAACCCACCGCCTGTGGGCCCGTTGGACTGCCCACTCGTCAGCACTGGAGCAATCCCGGCATCGAATTTTGGACTTTCGCTAGCTAAAAATTTTGATAGTCTTATATTTTATAAAGAGTTTTTATAATCAAAGGTTTACTCCGAACTTAAAAAAATCAAAGCTTAACTTTAGCAGCTTTTTTTCGGAATTCGTACAACATAACTTGTCGCAAATGTCCGGGTGGTAGATTCTCAATAGTTAGAACAAAGTAAAGCAAAATCATTAAAAAAAAAACAAATAGGTCGAAAGTGAAAGTTCATTGTTTTCGTGAATGTTCACTTATCTATTTTCCACAAGTCCCTCTCCCTCGTGTTTGTTTAAATCTTTAGGATTTCATTCGAAAAAACGTACCAATTCATACCCAGCAACCCAATAATATGCACAAAAAAGCTTTTTGTTTTTGAAAGTGTATGCAAAGGCCGGAATATCCCTTTAAACCCACGAGTTGTCAAATCAGTTCGTGTGAATGAAATGACAAAATTTCGGTTTTGATCGACTCCCAAAAAGAGGGTCAGCTTTGAGCCAAAGTAATCCACGACGGGAACGGCTCTGAAAATAGATACCATACAGAGTGTTCCAAAAAAAAAGTGGTCAACTTTGAGGCTGTAAAAATTTTTTAGAGCCTCAAAGTTGACCACTTTTTTTTTGTGTGGGAACACCCTTTAGATGTTATTAAATAAAATTTCAATAAATCGGAACCAATTTTGATGTTAAAACAAACGAATGATTTCCGTTGTCATCTGTGATCACAGCTTGGGACATAACAGTTCCAGTGGTCACCGTGGACATGACCCAAATCAATCCTTGTGGGTTGTCCTTGTTCTCGACGATGATACGCTGAAGGTCTTCAAAATCATTCATTTTGCATCTTTTTTCCAAACATTTTAACGCTTTTCTAGGGTAAAATTTTGCGTAAAATTCACTGGAGCAAGTCGTCGAAAGCTCAGATCAAATTTGTCAAGAAAAAAATTTTCAACATTTTTAGCCGCTTTGTGAGCCGCTTTATTGAATTCTACGCAAAACTTAACTCTAGAATAGTTTTTCCTTTATTCTAGAGTTCAATTTTTGCGTAGAATTCAATAAATGGGGTTGTTGCTTTGCGCAACTCGCCATATCTTGCTTACAAGGGGATGATTCAAAGTTAAGGTGACCGTTTGGGATGAGTTATACCGCATAGATCGATAGATCCCATGATGAACAAAAAAAACTAGCTGCCGATAAATTAGCTGCCGATTTATCTGCAACGATAAATGAAGCCAACAAGGAGCAAAAATGACGTTTTTGACCCTCCTTCGTGGGGCTGTAACTTTTTACTGAATCAACATTTTTGAATAATTTTTTTTGCATATAATAGAAATTGAATGAAACTAAAAAATAGTAAAATTCGATTCCCAAAGTATTTACAAAATTTTGCATTTTAAAGCTATTGATTTTAGCTAAAATTTAGTGAACTTTTTTATAGGAACATTTTAATTTCCTATAATTAATGAAAGTTTATTTTTTAGTTTCATTCAAGTTCTATTACATGCAAAAAAGATTATTCAAAAATGTTGATTCAGTAAAAAGTTACAGCCCCACGAAGGAGGGTTAAAAACGTCTATTTTGCCCCTTGTCGGTTTCATTTATCGTTGTAGAGTTGCTTTCAGCAGCTAATTTTTTTTTGGTCATCATGGGATCTATCGAATGCGGTATGACTCATCCCAAACGGTCACCTTAACTCCGGACCATTCTCTTGTTAGTTTTTGTCCAATTTGGCTAATCTTTTTTTTAGATTATTTTGTTGCATTTGATGAGAACAACAAAATGATACCAAAAATAACCAAATTTAACCAAAGCTAAGCAAGAGGGCAAAAAAAGGGCAAAGAAAAAGGGCAAAAAGGGCAAAAAGGGGCAAAAAAAAGTGGCGCAAAGTGCTCGGCTCAAAATACTACAAAATTTTGTCTTGAAAAATTTCATCTAAGCTTTCTGCGACTTGTTCCAGCGAATTCTACGCAAAATTTAAAAAAAAAATGCAAGATGAACGATTTTGGGCGTTTTCGACATTTTGTCATTAAATGAAAATTGCATTTTCATTTAATGAACTACTGAAAATATCGTTTTGTTTTTTCAGCATTAAGAAAACTCACAGTATAAGGTCTAAATTGATATCCGGACATCGTGTAAGATCCATCTGTTTTCGTCAATGAGATCAACTTGTCTTGGCTTTGAACTAAAAAATTTTTAAATGGCGGTGGGGGTATTAATCGCGACCGAATTGATTGTGATTTAAAGATGCAAACAAAAAGTGTCATCATTTTTATCCGAAAATTGATTTTATTTTGATAAAATTTATGTAATTTAAAAGTTTTGTCAAGAAGTAATAAGCATTATTTATTTCAATTTGGTTATATACTATTACTCTGACTACGGTAGATTTGCCATGCTAGATTTGCAGTATGCCTACTCGAAAAAAACGGCACCTACGATCTTGAAGTGCTCCAAGTAAAAGCGAGGCTTTTTTATTCATTTTTTAACTATTCTTCACCTGAAAAACTTAACAAAAAAACTAAAATTGTTGTGCAAAGTGCCAAAACATCTTTTTGTTGTTTCTACACGTTGTTTTAGTGGTACATTAACTCAAATTTTCTTACGAATTCCGCGCAAAGCTATAGTCATTTTTTGCTCTTATATACCTGTATAAAGTTTGAGATTGACTTACCTTTTGTGGCGCTTAACTTTATTGTTATCAAAGCTCAATCCTAGAAAATAATCCATCATGTTCGATTTTAATATTATATAATTTTTGTTGGTCACCTTTACTATTGTCCAAATAATCTTTTTCTTTAGGCATGGATCTCGATGGGGACTCGCTTGATGGATTCGAGAATTTTCGAGCTCGTCGTGAACACGAGGAACATGTGCAATTCTTCAAGAGGATCCACAATCAAGTGACCGAGCAAGACGCTAGCTACAACATGGCCAATGATGTTGCCGAGGAATCTTCGTGTGAATCGGATGCACCATCCGCGAAAAAAGCGACGATGTTTCGACGTTCAAACAAAGCTGAAAGCGATCGATTTTGCTGAAAAATAAAGAATAAGTCGGCTGCAGCGCGAAAATTTGGAGTCAGTCGTCAAAACATCCAAAAATGGTGTCAGCAAAAGGAAGAACTCGAGAAACAAAACAGAGATAACGGAAAAGGAAAAAACGAATCAAAGGCGGTGGACGAAAGCTCAAGGATTTCGATTTTGACAAGGATCTTGTTACTTGGATTCAAGAAATGCGGGCAAAGAAGATGCGAGTGAAAAATGATTCAATTCCGAGCCAAGTTAATGTGGAAAGGTGATGAGGAATTGGTCTCATTCATTGCTTCAAAAAAGAAGGACCGATTCCTGCAGGCGCAACACTTCTCGCCAATGCTCGTCTCGAACAATCGATCAACGGAGTAAAGGATCAACGCAAAAATATTGAACTGGATAAGGATGATGATTCTGTTGTCGATTTTTTTTGTTTAGTTAACTTTTTGTTATCAGAAGCCAATAAATTTTTAGAAAGTTACTTTTTTTGCAAGAATTTTTGGAACAAATCTTATATTGGAACAAAGAAACGAGTCTTACTTTGGTAAATGATAAAACTCTTTAATAGTAGTGCACTCTCTAATAGTATTGCGGTCCAGGAGGGGGTTGAAAAAATAGTAGTGCGCACTACTATTAGAGAGAATACGGTAGTTTAATAGATATCACCTTTTTTTCGTTATTCTTTTGATGAATACACCTAGGATAAGTTTTAAAAGCAAACCTCTATAGATTAAAGTAAAAAACACTAACAAAAGCATGGTGGAAAGACGAACGTTTCTTTCCTCTGCCTATGCTTTTGATCTTTTATTTGTCACTGATAAGGTTTCAATGGAAATCTCAAAGTTTTAGTGTGCATGTGTCGAAGTGATTCATCACCGAAAACCCCCGCGAATTGGAATGGGACGTCTGGGCGATAAGAGAACACCAGATTTTTCAAGATCTGGTACAAAATTGAAAAATTTTCTTGAGTTTCAATAAGTTTAGGGGACTTTTTCAATCTTAAAATTCTGTTTTTGTTTTGTGTTTATTCGGTATCTAAGCACAGTCTTAAATAAAGTCTTTAAAAAAACTTTTCGCTGTTGTCGAGTTGGATTTTGAATTTGGCTTTTTCAAAAAAAAAAGCGGCACTCGTTTTGAGTCTGAAGAAGTGCTAGAAAATTGAATTTCCTATTGAATGAAACTAAGTACAATCAGATTGGATGGGGTGATTGTGTGATCTACACAGTAGGCTCTAAAAGTTTGAAAACAGACTTTTTAGAAGAAAATGCGAGTGTGATAAGGCTTAAAAACTCCATCTTTGATAGCGATCTTCACTTTCGAAGCACAAATCGAATCGGTGTCGTTAGATAAAAGAAGATTTAGACAAAAATAAATAAAGATGAATTTATATTTTATTAAAAACGTCGGACGTCATTTATTTAACCAAAAACAATATGAAATAAATAAATGAAATAATGCTTTATATCTGCTTTATTCAGACGAACAAAATAAGCAAATCAAATGAAATAGAAATAGGGAGTCAAGAGTCAAATCCAAAATTTAGATCCAAAATTCAAAAGCCCAGCAGTCCAGCAGTCGATCCATAGATCCTCAAAATCTCCGTATCGGCGATCAGCGAGTCGACTTTATCGGTAAAATATTCGATCTCTTTATCCTTATAGAAATTTGTGTTGGGAGAAGTAAGGGAATTTTTTTTTGATGACAATCGGATGAATGAAATAAATGAAATTAAAGACGTTTTTGTAGCCGTTGAAAATTTTATCGAGTTTTTAGCTTCAAGCACTTCAACGAAATCGATTTGAAGTGGCAAAGGGTTGACTCGAATAAAACCATCGTGAATTGAGCGTGCGAAGACGACGAAATGAGTGAATCGAACGAAAAAAGTTAAGGAAAAAAAAGGTTGGCTCAAATTAGTTTTGACGTCCCTTCGGTAAGGTCAAATATTGAAGCTCCCGGGGCAGCTGAGCCATTGAACGAATAGAATTAAAGGACGAATATGGAAAGGAGGTTGAGGTTTGGGACAAGTGAAATAGCAAGCAGATGAAGTCGTAGTTAATGATTGACAATTGGAAAATATTTACTTGCTTTTGGATTAATTGGAGATCTGATCCTTGGCTGAATCGGCAGATGGGAATAGAACTGCTCATCAGATCGACTAGTAACAAAAAAGCCAGGAAACTGCATCAATCAAGCAGCTAAGCCAATTGGTTAGCAGTCACTTTTTCCTACAAGCCCTTGGTATCTTTTTGATAACCCAAGTTGATAATAAAATAATTTCCCAGATAACAGAGGATGTGATGTTTTAGAGATAAAACTTTACATTCATAAGAGTCCCTCAACATTTGTTCAGCTTTTAAAATCTCAATTTCCCTCAATTTCTTTGCCATTAAAACTCTTTGTATCAGAATAGCTGAAAGAAATCCTCCATTTTTGAGCTAAAGAGATTTCGTTTATGAAAGTGAGTGAAAAGAGATTAGGGGAAATGTCAATATCGGATTATCTTTTCCCTACAAAGCCCATTCTAAATTTTTTTTAATCTAAAAAAAATGAGCACATAGAGTACATGTTTACTTGGAAGATTTTTGTACGAATACTTTAGCTGATTTCAAGCGGAAATTGCGGAACGAAGAAAGAGAAGAATTCACGGATGGATTGGCAATGATTTGAGTTTTGAGTTGAGTGATCTGGCTTTAGAAATGTTAAGAACTATAGTTGATGTTGTGCAATTGGGTGTAAATTGGTGCAAAGATAGTTGATGAGCAATTGGGTGCAAATTGTTATACAATTGGCTTGGTCTAAAGAGTTGGTTTCCTTCTTGGGTACTTTTTTGGCACGGCGTCTGCTTTGCAGAGTGAAAACGTCTAGGGTTTACGGAAAAACTTTCAATTAAATTTCAATTAAATACCCAAGCGAGGAACCATGCGTGACAACTGCTTTACAACTTGACAACTATCAAGCCTAAGCTAAGCCTAAGCCTTTACAAAGCACAATAGATTTACATCGAAACGTTGAAATTTGCCTCGCCTTGCGGGATACGTATCAAAAATTAGCTCACTCAAATGGTCCATATGTCTCAAGTGAAGTAGCTAAAAGGTAAAGAATATTGTTTTTGTTAGTTGTGGGTTTCTTATTTTACCAACCGCTGATTTCCAATGCACCGCCTTTAAGTTCAAAAGTCGCTCAAAAATTAGAAAATCAGCCAACATGTGAAGATGAATAGAAACCAAACTACTTGCCGCGTGTGAACGCCAATAGGTGTGATTTGGGTTGGATTAAATTTAGATTTACAGTGGTGCAAAAAAAGTAGTTGGCCCGCCAATATTTTCTCATTTTTCGCCCGTTAGATCGCATTCAAATAAATCGATCCCAATTAGTTTTTTTGTAGTATTTTGTGAGAGCTTTAAGATGATATTCTTGGATTTTTGATGTCGCTTTAAATAGAATTTTTCAAGCTACTTTTGCATGAGAGGGTAAGGTCCTTTTTCTCAGATTTTGTTCAAGGCTTCAAAACTACCACTAGCCTTTCATTTTCACCAGAACAAAATTAATAAAGAATAGACAGTAATAGTACAGTAATAGTAAGTAATAGACAGTAATAGACAATCCAATGCCATTATAATTGGAACCGTTTTCAATGGAGTCCATTCATTTTTGAAATACAGATTTTTAAAAAACAGATTTTTAAAAATCATGATCAAATAAGGTTTTTCGATCATAAAACTCTAAGTTCAAAGAATGGCAAATTGCTAAATGGTTCATTTTAACAACCTTTGAAAATGCTGAATACAGTGGTGGGAAAAAGTTACCCCCCCCTCCCCATTGTAACTAAAAACAGTCTGGGGAGCTCAATACTTTTCTTCCACCACTGTATCTACAAACAATAAAAGAATCGATGAACGACGCACACAAAAAAAAGCAATAAAAAAAGAAAGAGAATGGGAAAGAGAAAACGCCCCAGCTCAAGCTTAAACACCAAAAAAAAATGAAAAGAATAACCAGCGAGAAAAGGAGCACGAAATAGCAAACGGTCGTTACCGTGTACGGTAGGACAAGAGAGAACGGGGGGTATAAAAGGGGAAACGCTCAACCAAAGAACGTCGATAATGGTTGGAATAGCTGAATTTTAATAAAGTTTACATTTCTGGCATTACAATTTTTGTACAAAAATAGTACAGACGTTTTTTTTATGTTTGATTTAGCA